ATTACAATGAGTTTTGGTATGCTCTCTAACTTATTTTTTGGAGGCAATTTGCCAGAATCTCTAGAATTGGAAAAACTCCCCGCAACTCTTGTCTTTTCCATTATTTGTAGGCTGCAATTCTAGTAGGAATCTTTTGTGAGTCAATCTTGATCGTAGATCTTCTTCATTTTTTTTCCGACCGTAAGACTTAATTTATTCTTCCAATTCTACTATAACTCTGTCGTTTAACTTAGAGGACGTTTGATTTATGTATTCAAAATTATTTTTGTTTTATGTGTATTTTTTATGAGAGAAAATACTGTAGAAAATCATGAATCATGATTCAAAATCAGAGACGAATATAGAAAAAAAACGTCCCCTTAAACTCCCCACTCTAATTTTTATTGAGTTTCTTTTTCGATTCATATGTATTTCATTCTTCTTTCTCCAAACTTACATCGCTTCTTCATTTATCTTTATTTCAATTAAACGTTATTGTTTTCCCGCGGTACTATTAGTGAGCCATTTAAACATATAAGATAATCTCATTAATCATATTAAAAAATAACAAAAAATTGAAAACATTTTATAAATAATTAAAATTAAAATTATTTTAGTAATTTTTTGTGTAATTTTATAATATAAGCGTGAAAGTTATTATAATAAGTCACACATAATTTATTCTTCATTAAATATTAAAAAAATTAATATGTTTCAATTTCATACTTATGAAAAGATTCAACTCTCATGTCCTATTATTATGTCCTATTTACACGTATTAATTGAAATATCGTATGACTGAAAGCATCACATGGGTTGAAATATTTATTTAATGTAACCTGATATTAACGACGTGAACCAAATCCCTTATATTAAAAAACTCAATGAACTGTAATTTTTTTATATTTTTTTATATTGGAAAATGACCATAGAGGACATGATCCTATTCTATTAGTCCTTTATTTACTCTTTTATTAATAGAGCTGTTCATAACCAACTTGTAAACTCAATTTATCCCATTTTAATTCAATTCGAAAAAGATAATTTGTAGCATTATTTTTTACTTTTCGGCCCACTAAATATCTGATCCGAGGTGTTTGGGACGGTTTTTGGGTTTAATCTATAATAGTCCACAAATCCCAACCCAACCCATGCTTAGGCCATGTCCTCTAAATTCTGACCCTTGCTGCTTCATGTTTGATATTAGATTGAACTTTCAATTGTTATATGTTTGATGATAGACTGATTAATATTATTTTTATTTGATAATGAACTTTAAATGTTTGCGTTATGTTTAAAGATCAGTATTATTTGATGATGAACTTTGAATGCTAGAGTTATTATTTTTATTTGATAATGAACTTTGAATGTTAGATTAAACTTTAATTCTTTGAATATTGAACCCGATTACCCAACTCACTCTGTCCTGCCCCAATCTAACCTAAACATCATTAGATTATAAAATTTTTTTAATATTATTGAGACTAAATATGTATAATCCATACTTTTTAAGATGGGATAAAAAAAAGCATATTCCGCGCCAATTCAACTCATGTACAACCCTATTTATGAGCAGCTAATACACCTAACAGCCTATAAAGACTTTCAAGATTTTTTTCAATAATAGACATCAGGACTTGCTCTTCCAAGTTCCACCACAAACATGAGCAACGAAGTAGCCGTCGACTTATCTCCCCTCATTAAAGTCTACAAAGACGGACGAGTCGAGCGCCTCCGCGGCACCGACACCGTGCCCCCTTCCCTCGATCCCGACACCGGCGTCCAATCAAACGACGTCGTAATCTCCCCCGAAACCGGCCTCTCCGCCCGCCTCTACGTTCCCCCGGCCGCCAAAAATTCCAACCAAAGCCTCCCCCTCCTCGTCTACTTCCACGGCGGCGGCTTCCTCATCGAAACCGCCGCCTCCCCGACCTACCAAAACTACCTCAACGCCCTCGCTGCCAAAGCCAACGTCGTCGTCCTCTCCGTCGACTACCGCCTCGCCCCCGAACACCCTGTCCCCGCCGCCTATGACGACTCCTGGTCCGCCTTCAAGTGGATCGCTTCCCCCGATTCCGAGGAATCGCTCCCCAGCTCACTCTCCGATCGCCGGCGCGTGTACCTCGCCGGGGATAGCGCGGGGGCGAACATCGCGCACTACGTGGCGCTGAAATTCGGCGTGGAGAAAGGCTTAGGCGGAGGAGTAGGAGTGGAGCTGAAGGGGATTGTGCTGGTGCACCCGTACTTCTGGGGTGAAACCCCGATCAGCTCGGAGGCTGACGGCGGCGGGATCGGGCCGCTCGTGAAGGCGCTGTGGTTGTTTGCGTGCCCCGGGTCGAGCGGGTTGGACGACCCGTTTTTGAACCCGGAGAAGGATCCGAATTTGGGAAAGCTGGGGTGTGGGAGAGTTCTTGTTTGCGTGGCGGAGAAGGATGGGTTGAAGCATAGAGGGGTGTATTACGGCGACCTTTTGAGGAAGA